TCTGCTTGCTACCAGCTTTGTTTTATCTAAACCTCTGTGCAGCTTCATCAGGACAGGGCCCAGTACCATGAATGTGAAGCTTTATTTATGGATTCGAAAAGTCTTTTTTTTTTTTCCAGTATCAAATTATTATGCTACATATTTATATTACAATTTAAAAACAGCTATACCATCCATTAGCAACTCTACCTGCCTTAAATACTCATACCTAATGTTAGATGCAAAGATAGTAAAACTCACAACTATATTATCTCACAATATAACACCATGACAAATGTGCGCACATAATTTTAACACTAGTCTCTCTCTTTCTGCTGGTATAGCGGAGGACTCTGGAGACAGCCAGTCAGAGTCTGAGAATTCTGTCTCTGACAGTGTCGACGACAACGATGACTCCGTGGCAGAGATCAGCCGCTCCTTCCGGTCCCGGCAGGAGCTCTGTGAGCAGCTCAATGTCAACCACATGATCCAGAGGATATTTTTAATCACTCTCGATAACAGTGAGTATAAGCTGATGATCTAGCTGCCATCTGTAACTTGGATGAACCCAGGCTGTGATGTCATGTGGAAATTTGAAATATTATACTCAACAGCACAGAGAAAATCCATTTGGATTGAGATGACAAGGCTGTGCAGCGTTCAAATCTTTCAAAGATGTTTTTATTTCCAAATATCAAGCAGAATGGGCGGAAACATTTTGTATTTTAAGGGTTTTAGTTACTTTTAACTCTCTAAAAATGATCTCTTATAATCTCATGATGTTGACATCATGTTTCTTGAAGTCACTTCGTCCCATTTTTTCTGACATATTCTTAAATTCTTTTATATTTTTGAAGCCTTACATTACATGCAGCTGGAAAGGATATCGGCAGAGAAAGGCCAGTAAAGGAGGCCTTCCCTGAAGGTCTGTCTCTCTAATAAAAAGGGGAGTTGAAAACCGGAGGCTTTGCTGATGACGCTACTGATTATAAATAGCTGTGGATTCCACTTTCCTCCAGGGACGTTACTTGATGCAGCTCAGCTCAATATCTTGAAAATCAAAATCCAACCTTCCAGTGAGGAAGAGATGAGTCACCATGCTTTAAGACCTCCATCCTTACAAGGTTTCACTTTGAACCGGCTGGGTCTTTTTATCACTCAGGCTGCTCAGAAATGAGTCATAATGTTCGAGAAATGTATGCCCCCCCCAACCCGCCTTTTGTCTTTGCTTATTCCCACCAACAGTAGTTCTCCATCTCTGTGATCGGTGCACTATGATCACAAAGGATGACATAGCCAGCAACAAGCTCAGAAGGCTTTGATATTTAGGTATAGTGGAGGATTTTCATAAAAATTTTAAAAGACCTACCCTCACCATTTAAAAAAAAAAAAATGCACATGCCCAACCCTGTACCTGCTCCCGTGAGGAAACGCCTATTAAACATGTGTGAGAGAATGCGTGAGACAATTTCTCTTTGTGCATGCTCCGTTTAAAAGTTGCTGTTCTCATAGCTCATACAATCTTACTGTATCTGAACGTCCGCCCTAACCCCTAAATCCCTCAATCACTACATAGAGCAGGGACTTTATAGTGGACTTTAAAGCAAACTCAGTTAACTTGCCATTCGGACAGATGATCACTGCTTTTTGCTCCCCGTTGGTCACATAAATCCTCATCAACTTCGTAGTGCCTGCGCCATCTTTATTAGTCACGGCTGTCGGGTAGCAGCAGCCTATGGCAACAAATGCTTTGTGAGGAGGGCTCTCCGTGCAAAGCATTCTGGGATATATCTTCCTCTTCTGAGGCCTTTCTTTTCTACTCATTCATTTTATAGACACTTTTTCTTTTACGACCCTGTGCCATTTTCAGAGAACCTCGGTGAGAAAGGTGAGCTTCAATGACTATCTGAAACCGTAGCTCACCCACCATTTACGCCTGAAAGTGCGCATGCGCAGAAAAAGATAGCCAACGGGATGAGCATGTAGGACGGCCTTACGTAAACATATCACCAAAATGATTGACAATTAGGAGGACCACTTGTTTAGACGATCCACCCGGAAATAAAATATTGTCCTCCATACCTTTTAAATGACCCTTGATTGGTACTATGGAATCCTATGTAAACAATTAACTGATAGCACCGCCAACTTAGACTGTTTTTAAGCCATTTTCTGAGAATATTATTTGGTGCAGCTGTATAAAATGGTAATCTCATCAGGTATTGTTTTTTTGTGAATTCTGGCTTAATTTCCCTTTACTTTGCTCACAGAGTTGGGCTTCTACTCCAGGTTCATATGTTGGTTGAAACAAATGCAGTGCCCTTTAAATCCCCTCTTCAGCAAGTTGTATTCTCATTTGATGTCTTAATAATTTGAGTTGCTTCCATGTGAATGGCTGATGGCTGAGTTTGTGCTAGCGATGAACAGATTTAAACACCTGGGGCCAGTATTGATATTCAATATTAATACTTCCTTTATGGCAGATAGCCTGTATTTATTAATATTATATATCAGGTTTCATTGCCTTTGCAGACCTGCTTGCTTCTCTGCTTCAGTTTAAATCCCACCACCCTGAGCTACATCAGTCAGTGTCTATCCTGAAACAAAAACTACAACACAATAAATATTGGTGTGCCCTGTTTTTCTTATTAGACTGATACTGACATGCTTAAAATGGCAGTTAGCCCACTCTGACATTAATGTTGGTATTTCCTGCATCAACAGTTTGTGCCAATAAGCAATTGAACAGGTATACTTACGGTAATAGAGGCCAGGCAGTTTAGATTTTATTGGTTAGCTGTAGGTTTAATTTTGCTTAATTGTGTTTTTAATCATTCAAATTGGGATGGGGGGTTAATAAAACATATTTCTGTGGAGTGACAAATGGAAAACACACATTTATTTTTACTCTACGTTGCCTTTCATTAAATTCTTTTTTTTTCACACTAGGTGATCCCAGTCTGAGAGGAGGTAATGGGATCCCTCCTCGGTGTGTTTACTTGGAAGAAATGGCTGCAGATCTGGATGGTCAGGACTGGCTGGACATGGACAACATAGAGCAGGTTATAAAGCACTATCATGTTTTTGAAGTATATGAAAAACACAGTTTATAAATATTTCTTTTATTTCCAATATGGCCACATTTGTTCCAATTTAAACTTCATAATTTTTCCTTGCTGTATTGTTTTTATTCTTGTTTGTTTTGGAGGGTCTTGTTTTTAGTACTGATATATGTGTATCTGATTGTTTTTGTTTTCCTATCACTTTTGCTGCTATAAGCTAGGAAATAAAAGAGAATTTTATTTCATTCATTTATTTCTCTTTTTATTCTCTTCTTCTAATGAATGCAGCTTGACCATTTAATCTATTCCTCAAGTCCCAGCCTTATTCTGTACCAAATCACTTCAATGTCATCCCCTGTTTCTTTCATTTCCTACCCAGAAAATATTTAATCACCACATATTGAACATCTAAGATATTAATTTATTTATTTAGGTCATTATTTTTGATGAATTATAGAGACAGTTTGTAAAAAAAAAAAAATCATTATAATTGAAATAATTTGTATGGTATTTTGTAAAGATGTTTTAACCAAACTCTGCTTCCATGTAAAAGGATTCTGATCCACATTTGTAATTTGACTATAGTGAAAACAGACTATGATCTATAATAAAAGATATCTCTGAGCAAACTCTCCTCGAACCGGTCAGTAAAGCAGGTTTTAATCCAATGGCAAGTGGAAATAACAGATGAAATAGCAAAGTGTCCAGCTCTTTTAAAAAGGTTGAATATAATCCATTTGTCTGCATTTTGTTTTGTAGCATTTTCTTTAAAATGTTAGTTCCTAGCTTATAGTAGCAAAAGCTATAGGAAAACAACAACACTCGAATACACATCTATCAGCAATAAAAACAAAACAATAAACACAATAAACAAGAATTAAAAACAATACAGCAAGAAAAAATTAGGAAGTTTAAATTTGAACAAATGTGGCCATATTGGAATACAAAAAAGATTTATATACCGTGTTGATTAAGACTATAGAAGATTAATTCTATGGAGTAAAATGTGCTTAAATGTGTTCTTATTTCTTTTTTTCTTTAGGCTGTGTTTAACCGCCTGCTGCTATTAGAACCGGGAAACCATCTCATTTACATGACATCCTGCAGTGCAGTGAACCTCTCTGCTGACCGGGATGCAGGAGAAAAATGTGCCATCCCTTACCTTTTTGCTTGTTACCAGAGAGCCAAGGAGGAGGTGTTTTTTTTTTTTTTTTTAAACTACAACAACAAGCTCTTTACTGTAGCTGGTACATAAACATCACCAATCGTCTCCTTAACTTACTCACTTCTGTTCCATCTTTGCTCCAGTTGACAAAGGTTCCTGAAAAGTTACATTCATTTGCTGTCCGCTGCAAGAACCTGACTGTGTCCAACGGGCGAACTGTTCTGCTCACTCCAGAGATCTACGTCAATCAGAATATCTATGAGCAGCTGCTCGACCTGCTGCTCCAAGGTTTCACTGCAGCACGTAGGTCCAGCTTTAGGGATAAGATTTCTTATTGTTTCAGCTTTGATCTTCACTTGTGCTCAATGTTTGTTTTTTCATGTGTTCCTGGTATTTTAGGGCCCGAGGAGGTGGTTGAGTTTGTAGAAGAGGTCATTGCAGGTCTGCTGTCAGACCAGGAGGTGCGTACCTTTGAGGAGGTGATAGTCCCAGTCTTTGATATCTTCCAGGGGCGCATTAAAGACTTGGATCTCTGCCAGCCTCTGCTCTACTTCTATCTGGAGGTCCTCCTTTATTTTAGCCACAATAAGGATATTGCAAAGGTTAGGAAAAAAAATCACATTTTATCTCTACCTGATTTGGCCCACATTATTATGAAACGGTCCTTTAACATGGTCCTGTTTGGTTCCTACAGGTGTTGATGGAGCACATACAACCCAAAGACCCAGCTAATGGTCTGCATTACCAGAAGAGCCTGCTGGGGATGGTTTTGAATATATCCTGCTTGCTGAAAACCCCAGGTGTTGTAGAGGGGCATGGCTACTTCCTGAACCCTTCTCGCTCCAGTGGCCAGGAGACAAAGGTCCAGGAGGCCAACATTCACCAGGTATTTTTTTATCTATCAGTCTTGTTGGATTTCTTTTTTTTTTATAAAAAGGAATTTAAACTTTGCCTTCTTTTTGTTGCAGTTCATGGGTCAGTATCACGAGAAACTGCACCAGATCATGAAAACCCTCCTGCAGCGGTCTGCCGAAACACGCCACTTGCTGCTCACCTGGCTCGGCAACTGTCTGCAGGCCAATGCAGGCCGAGCTAAGATCTGGGCCAACCAGATGCCAGAGATCTTCTTCCAAATGTATGCCTCGGATGCATTTTTCCTCAACCTGGGCGCTGTTCTCCTGAAACTCTGCCAGCCTTTCTGCAAGCCTCATTCATCTAAGCTGCTCACTTTTAACCCCACTTACTGCGCGCACAAAGATGTGAGCGAAGAAGAGCGGCGAAACCGCAACATCCACGCAAGAGGTCAATATATACATAAATGCATATTCCCCTGAGCATTTCTACATTCACGCTGCATCATAACAACCAACTTTTATGTATTTGGGATTTTATGACAAATCTATATGAACCACCACACAATCGTTAGTGGAATGAGCTTAAAATACAAATGTGTGTTTATTCTATAGCATAAATTAGCTTTGATCTAAGCTGTGGATCTCTGCAGCTCCTTGGATTTCTTGGCTACTACATTGATTAATGTTCTCCTTGCCTGGCCTCTCAGTGTAGGTAGGTGTCGACATCTTGGTGGATCTGCAGTGGTGCCAGACTCATTCTATTTACTAATTATGGATTAATCGGTGCTCTGGGAGAAATCCACAGCTTGTTAAATCATTTTTTTTTTTAACCACACCTTCCTTTTAAGCCTATCCATGACTTTATTTCTGACCCGTTTGCTGTGCTCCTTAGTCTCCATGATGCAGTTAAACCATTTCAAAGAGATTTACCTTTCAGACCAAATTAAACATTGATGCGTAGATCAGTGGGGAAACATTTTTCAGGAGTATATTGAACCCACAACTTTCGGATTGCAAGACAACAGCTCTTGCGACCAGGCAGCAGTTACCCACAGAATAATAAATAATGGACTGTTAACAGCAGTGTCTTTCTTTTTAGTTACTAGTTTGCTAAATGCAGTTGACTTCTGTGGATTTTATTTGGGTTTGTCAGAGTAAAGGCAGCTGAATACAGATGCAAACACTTTGGAGGATATCTATAGCAATTAAATGGAAGCCTTGAATCTTTCATCGACTTTACAAATTAACATCACCTTGCGTTGGTTCACTACTTATGATCCCATTCAATAAAATACATTTAGGTTTGTGGTTCTTAACTGGTAAAATGAGGAAAGGTTTGAAGGTTGTGAATGAATTCATAAAGCTGGTGTTTGTTCATTAAGGATAAGTGTTTCTTTCCCAGGTCTCGACAAGGAGACCTGCCTGATCCCATTGCCTCCTCAGCACCAGGTTGAGTTTGCACAATCCTACAGCCTACTGACTGAAAACCTCATCTTCACACAGCTCACTCTGCATCTTGGCTTTCACAGGTACAAATGATTACCAGTATGTTGTTTAAACAAAAGTAATATTTGTTAAATACCAGCTTTCACATTAACACCAGTCTTACATTCCCTTCACGCTTGTTGTTGTTAAATCCTCTGTGTGGTTTGCCTCTCCAGACTCCATGAGCAGATGGTCAAGATGAACCAGTCTCTCCACCGGCTCCAGGTGACATGGCAGGATGCCCAGCGAGCTGGCAGCCCCATGTCAGAGCAGCTCTTGGAGCAGTTTGAGCGTCTGATGATTGTTTATCTGTCAACCAAAGCTGCCACTACACAGCCCGTCATGCTGCAATGCTGCCTTAACCTCCAAGCTTCCACTGCTGCTCTGCTAGTTCAGCTTAGCATGGGAAACCAGGGGCCCGAACATGTAGCACTCAGCTTTCCTCTGGCATCCCTGCACAGCTCCATGCTCTGCTACGTACCTGGTAGGTTAGAGTTAGTAGAGTGACCTTGAAATGATATGAATATGTCAGCTCTGTGAAGGATTTTTCAAATAGCTGCTGCTGTGCGTTAATTTGGTAAACCCAGAAGTTCCAGAATGCTGTGGTGATGGGTAATTCTGTTCTTTTATTTATTTTTTTTTTATTAGAGTTTTTTGCTGAAAACATGGGAGACTTCTTCATCTTCCTGCGACGCTTTGCGGACGATGTCTTGGAGACGTCTGCAGAAAGTCTTGAGCAGATCCTTAACTTCATAACAGTCTTCATGGGAAACATTGAGAGGTTCGCCTTTGTTCAGACTTTGATCATAAAATAGGGGGCTGGGTTGTAGTTTGACTGACAGCTGGAGCAGCTCTGTGGCAATGTCTGCAGCTCTGCTCTCTACATTTAAGAAAAGCATCTGTTGAATTTTTCTTTTTGGCTTTTTAGAATTTGAACCAGTCAAATGTGGGAATTTGATCAAGGTTTTTCTTAAAATTTCACATCATTGGAAAGCTTAGACTTCACTCTTTTAAGATCTGCCAATCAAAATGGTCCTGGAAGACTTGTTCATCAATTTATCAAACCGTGTCATGTTCATGTATGTAGGTGAGCAAGTATTAATCAGTTTTTAAGCATTTGACTTCATTGCTTATCTTTTAAATGTGCAACAGGATGAAGAATCCTCATTTAAGAGCAAAGCTAGCAGAGGTGTTAGAAGCTGTGATGCCTCACATGGAGCCCCTGGCTCCTGGTGCTGCTCAGCCAATCGTTTTCCAGAGAGAGAGAGTCTTCTGCTCGTATGTTCATGCACCTCAGCTGGCTGAGGCCCTCATCACTGTGTTTGTTGACATTGAATTTACAGGTAAGTAAAATCACATTTCAATTAGTTTGATCTTTTTCGCATTATTATCTAGTTAATAAATAATTATATAAATATTTGTAGGGTAGTAAGGTGAATTTTGATGTTTCTCTGCATTTCCTAACAGGAAACGAGAAGCTGATTAAGGTGAAACAAACGTAGCTTTTTGACTTTCTGCTTTGTTTTTACTCAGGCGATCCTCATCAGTTTGAACAGAAATTCAACTACAGGAGACCCATGTATCCGATTCTGAAGTACATGTGGGGCAAAGAGAGCTATAGAGAGAGCATTAAGGTAATTAAACGAATATTTTAAATTGATCGTCTAAAAAAATCAAAAGTGGATGGGATGATGCAAACAAGTTTTAAGTAGAAACCCAAATATTTAAGACATTTTTTTTAATGATTACTAGTTTAGTTGTTTGCTTTCCCGGTATCCAGTTAAGACCCAAAAGCAGATGTTACACAGAATTTTAATGAATAATTCAACTCGGTTTAGTTCAACCTGGATCTGGTTTATCAAATGGCTGCAATGAATCAAAGAGTATACATATTTAAAGGGGTCTGCATACTTTCCATACCCGCTGTATGTATATTGGAATGTTCTGAGTGTAGCCTAATCTTTTATTTATTTTTATTTCTTCCTCTGGGATTACTTTTTTCAGCATTTAGCAAACTATGCATCTGAGAACCTGGAGGCCATGAACCCCCCTCTGTTCCTCCGGTTTCTCAACCTGCTGATGAATGATGCCATCTTCTTACTGGATGAGGCCATTCAGGTGATACAAAATAGTTCTCAATAAGTTTGAACATTTCTTTTCTGTGTGATATTTTTACTTTACTCAACATAGTGGTTTTTTTTTTGTTTGTTTCTTTTTAGTACTTAAGTAAAATTAAGATTCTGCAGCTGGAGCGTGACAGAGGGGAGTGGGAGAACCTGGCCCCTGATGCCAGAAGAGAAAAAGAGTCGAGTTTGCAGATGTTCGGACAACTGGGGCGCTTCCATAACATCATGTCCAATGAGACTATTGGCACACTGGCCTTTCTGACCTCAGGTCAGGCAGGAAAGAATTACTGCATGATATAATATTGTGTTTAGTTAATCAATCCATATATTGACCTCCACATTCAACAAAGTTTCCAATTTAGCCTGAAAGTACTTCATGCACAAGTATGAAACTAATACCCCATTTACACTACCTTTGAAAAACCGTGCCGAGACCGGTCCGAGCTCAGTAACTGAGATAACTTATCGTGTGTAAATGGAAAGCAAACTGAACTGAACCGAGCTAGACACAACCGAACCGAGATAACTGCAGACCAGTTCCAGAGGTGGGCTCGGCTCGGTTTTTCCCTGGCTCGGTTCTCTGAGCTAACAAGAGCGCATGAGCAGAACGCATCATCTGTCTGGCTGCACATCGCAATTCACTCTCCATTCCAGTAGTTGGCAGTAATGCCCCTCCAGAAACAGAAGAAGAAGAACAGCTTCTTCTTCAACTATAAACAACAATCGAAATCTTCTCCAAATCTTCTCCACGCAACATTTTAAATAATGGCATTTTAAATAATAACACCTCCTTTATACTGGCAGTAATAGCGCAAATTGTCACTAGGAGGCGAGGAGTCGAGATAGCGGGATGTGTAAACGGTCGTCAGAACCGAGCTCGGCCTGGTTAACTAATCCGAGCTCGGACCGGTCTCGGCATGAATCGGTTTTTCAAGGGTAGTGTAAATGAGGCGGAAGTTCTTGTCAGTCACTCTGATTTCAAGAGGATTTTTAAGATGCATCCATTTTCTGATAATATTGATACCTTCAAAAATACATAAATAAAACAGATGTATACGTTTTCAATGACTTCCTGTAGAAAAATAATTTGGGAAAGTATTTGGAAAAAAGATATTTCCTGCAGAATTGTTGGTTATTGACAAATCCCTTGGTTTGAAGAGCTGAACCAGAAAAAAAATTTCATTTTTGAAGTTCAAACAGCCCTAAGTCCTTATTGTTTAGAACCTGATACCTCTGTTCTAAAGAAATGGAATACCAGTGGTGACTGAGTCTGAAAATCAACTGGGATAGATTAGTGGTAATGACTCAGAGCACATGAGCTTGCAGCATTACTAATACTGTTGGTTTTTATTCGAATTTATATTGATTTTCTCGCCATTATATTGTGGTTAGTCACCGTTAAGTGCAAGGATGCTGGATTCAAGGTTTTCAGGGAATTAATAATAAAAGCATCCGACAGGGGAAAAAAAGAATGAGCAATGATCATCATATTTATTAAGTTCTATGGTTGATTTGTTTCAAGACAGGTATTTCCTAAACTATGTTTTTTATTGTTTAATCATTTTTCTCTCAAGTTTCTAACTGAAAGTGCTAAAATAGCTTTAAAGATGTATTTAAAATTAGATGATTTTGACCTTATGTTTAGAGTTATTGTTAGAAGTAAATCTGTGGTTTGTGTTTTAATAAAGTCCTTCTCTTATTTTCTTCTATTTCTATTTCTTTCTCAGAAATCAAGGGTATCTTTGTGCACCCGTTTCTGGCTGAGAGAATCATCTCCATGCTGAACTACTTTCTGCAGCACCTGGTTGGTCCAAAAATGGGTGCGCTTAAAGTCAAGGACTTCAGTGAGTTCGACTTTAAGCCGCAGCAGCTCGTTTCTGACATCTGCACGATCTACCTAAACCTGGGGTATGTTGGAAACATTTGGCTCCTAAATTATTCTAATTAATTAAAGATTATTTGTTTAAATTATCTATGTTTTCTCTATAAGTGAGGTAGAAATCCAAGATTAGAAGGAAAATAAATTAGACTAAAAATCTCATCAATTGTTTGTGTTTTTTGCAGTGATGAGGAGAACTTCTGTGCCACTGTCCCAAAGGATGGACGCTCATACTCGCCTACACTCTTCTCCCAGACTGTTCGTGTGCTAAAGAAGATCAACAAGCCTGGCGACATGATTGTGGCGTTCGGCCTCCTTGCAGATAAAATTAAGGTATCATTTTACTTGGAAGAATGGCAGAAATGGAAAACATTGTTAATCTGAATGGCCAACGATGACAACGGCAGGAAATATTTGTTTTCTTAATAGATTGTTTTTCTTTTTTTAGTCCCATGCTGATAGGCAGCAGCAAGAAGAGGAAACCTATGCTGATGCCCCAGATGAATTCTTGGACCCCATTATGTCCACCCTGATGTTGGATCCTGTCCTCCTCCCCTCTTCCAATGTAACTGTTGATCGATCCACCATTGCAAGACATCTCCTTAGGTTTGTTGTCTTTTCTTATTGTGTTTGGCTGAAGTAGATGTTAAAAAAGGGAAAGGAAAAACCCCTAACAGCTAAGAACAGTAAAGTTTAACTAAAGGTGCCTCAGATTTAGGACCAGGAAGACCTGAACACTATCCAGGGATATAGCTGGGGTTGTACTCTGAGATCTGTCTGCATTTCATCAAAGTGATGAATGACTGCGAAATTTTTGAAACCAAAACTATCAAGATTTCTGAAGAGTTTAGTGGAAATGTTTTAAACGGGAGTGTTGGCCTAGTGGTTATAGCAGTGCGCCTGTGCTCTGAGAAGTTTGCAAGTGTCCTGTTGAATCCCCACAGCCTGCACTCTGTGTCTGAGCAAGATCCTTAACCCTACACTGCTCCCCGGGCGCCGTACAATGGCAGCCCACTGCTCCCCAAGGGGATAGGTCAAATGCAGAAATAAATTTGTCCACTGTGAGATCAATAAAGTTAAATTATTATTTATTATTATTAAACCTGGTTACAGTTCTGACCTGCATTGGTACCCTGACACGGCAGGCATCAGCACTCCTGTTTGCATCAAACTCTGCATCATTAAAAGGACCAAATATAAATGAGTCATTTAGTAAACCATAAAAAAAAACATTGCTAACTTAAAAAGACATGTTTTTTCTTTCTTTTTTTTTGCTTTATACTAATTCTTTTTATACTAATTTGGGTTAGAGGTTGGGGGGAGTTTCTGTGGAACCTGTTTATTGTTCCCAAATTGTTGATTTATTTAGTAACGTGATCTATACATATCTGCAGTATTCTTTTTCTGAAAAATGTCAAATAAAAAGTACACCTAAACTTATCTTAAAACAACCATTTTCTCTGAGGAATCTTATGCCAAACAACATCTGTCATTGCTTTTATGGTCTGGCTGTTGACTCACTGCTAAAGCTTTCTGTCTTTAGTGTTGTAAGATATCTGTTGTGCCCTGAGCTTCAGTGGTTGCTTTTCTCCAAACAAATATTCTCATTGTTTTATAATGTTGGGCAGAAATAGTTTTTGGTGAATGAAGACGTATCGACTCACCTTTTTTAATTTTCTGCTCTGAAAGTTACTGCTCTTTTCCTGCACAAAGGCTCTCTGCATAAACGGAGAGTTTTAAAGAGAAAAGCACTCAAAATTTTCAGTATTGCCTTAAAGAAACCTTTCTGTTATTACCGTATTTTCACGACTATAAGGCGCACATAAATGTCTTTTTTTTCCCTCAAAATGTG